TTAACTCCGTAAATAATTCTTACTGGACTCTGGAACGTGGTTTGCGTCGGTCCCAGAGGACACGCTCACTGGGGCAGTAGAGGAAATGAACTTTACATTTCCTGTATATTACTGCATAATTCATGACTTGACAAGCGAACAGCAGCATTTTCCAGAACGTCAGTTCTGACTGACGGTTTATGCAGCCCAAATGCAAACTTGGCAAACAGAAGGCGGTTCAACGCTTTGAACCTAACGAACAAACGATGCAACTTACTTTGTGGATTAGATTTCAAAATTCAGTGGTCGACAAACGACGAAACTTCACTTAGTATCTCCACGCCTTATCCCTCCTACCTTTTCCTTACATCCGGATGTTCAACGACGCAAGGGACAGGAGAACAGCACAAACTACGAATTCATTCAAAGAACTGCGCAATGGTCAGGGCAGGATACACGATCAACGCCTGGCTTCGAAATGCAGAGGAACGGAGGACGATCAGTGGAATGAGGTCTGAGAGCTGTTGGGTGAGGCCTAGAAGGACCCAGCCTGGGGAGAAGTCAGTCGGTGCAGTTCCTGGTAACTGTGACGTTATCATCTGCTCTGCAAACATTCCATCACGCAGTCACAACGGACTAAACAGCCGGTCCAGAGAGAGAACAGAGGGCGAAATCTGGGCAGAGTCAAAGGGTTCCCGTTTGAGAATATTTGGAATTGCGGGCAAAAGGGACAGCCACCAACTGACACGTGCAGCCACTCGGGTGTCCTGCACGTGTTCTGTTACAACTGAGCGCCTTGGAAATTAAGACGAGAAGCGGCCTGCTCAAAGTTGATTCCAAATCTCGCCATTAGCTCAGTAATGTTCTTGAACGAAAAACGCCTTGGCACTCCACATACTTTTATTTGGTTAGATTTTGTTTCGTTCCTATTCGATGACGCCGGAACAAAGAATTCCACATTCCACGCCGTTTGCCATGTGCACATTCACAAAGGCACGTCTCGCACACAGCATTTGGGGGCGGGTGCCGCCGACTGATGGAGAGCCAATGCCAAAATCGAACGTGCGATGCGCACTTCTTCAGTCGACAGGAATTAAGGCCACGGGCCTGATCCGATTCAGAACTGATTCTGCCCACTCACGAGATCTCCTTGGACAGGAGGCCCCTTCATTTACGCGGGAAAACGCGGACAGACATCCGCTTCAGCAGCTCGAAGACGCGAGTTCTCCGCAAACACGGCGTCCGAAGATTACGGGGGCATGGAGACTGAGGGTGCGCCTCAGAAAACGTGTTGGGTGAAATATTCTTAATAATAACGCGTGCTTACGCGTGCTTACGCGTACTTGGGAACCGAAATTACTCGGCACGTCCATTCCTCAATCCTATTTAACATTGTACAGGTCAGGCCTACTTCTTACTACGACCGAAGAATTCCCTTTCTGCAGCGAATGACAAGAGGAGTACTGAGTGGAAACTGCACAGGCCGGGACAAGCTCTTGTGCAATCATTCCGATTGCGTTTATCAGAGAGATTATGATCGCTGCGATGAAATTATTATATCATATCATATTAATAATCGGAATTGCAAACTATCACTTGCACTGCAGACCAGAATGTGTGATGCTGCATACCCGGTTCGGATCCGTTGACCCGAAGGAGTGGGAAACACAGAACGTACTTCGATTTCAGTGTCGAATCCTTCGGAATACACTAGCAGCCTCCAGGGAGCAGGAACTCCGAAGTGTCGCTGGCTGCAGCGGATCTGTTCCTTGACACACACTTCCGGCGTCCGAGGTTAAAGGCGCGCATAGCCTGCGTCAGCGACGACGCGGAACAGACGAAACTGATATTCAAATAATTCTCGGACGAAGTATTTCTCCATTATCGTGTAGCGAGGCCTCCCGCACGACGTCCTGCTTATCTGCCGAGACACTAGGCGACGGCGAGTCGCTCTGTCGGCGCCAATCATGGCAGCACGACCTCCCTCAAGTTTCATGAAGGGCACTTCTACGAACCAAGTCGACTTTCCACTTATTCTCAACTGTTAGTCGAGAATTGAAATTCTCGAATCTCGTATCTGGACCTCGCGTCTGTCGATTTTCTTAATCGATTAACCCATTGCGAGACGAACACACACGTTGCAACATCGCGCGTATAAAGCTGACAGCCTTTCCCTTGTACGACGACTTGAAGCTTCAAGTGACGGCAGGCGCCTTCTGGTTTGTCCCGGGGCAGAATCTCATTCTTCAGCTTGCAAACAAATTTACTTTCCGACAGGCGGCGTAAAAAGCAGTAATTTGAAGCCACAGCTCTTCCGGGGTCCCCAAACACACACACACACACACACACACAGTGTGGAAACATTCATTGCCTTCAGCACCCCCGAGCATTAGCGTGGACATCGTCCGTCTGTTCAACTTTAAGACGTATTCGTCGACTCTTACCCAGTCATCAACAAAAGAAACTTTGCGATTTAAAGCCTAAACCTTCCGTAATGTTCACGAAAATGCACGAACAAAAGTTCTAAATGTTTTGTTTATTGGAAGTACCAAAATCTGCGCATTTCAGAGAAAAATTATTCTTAAAAGATGACGCCAGTTCAACTGCTGACCACACGAACATTCCCAATCCCCTTTTTGGCATGAACGCGTGATTATTTAAACATTCTTGGGCTTTTGGAACGGGACCTGCGTACCGTCTGATTCATCAAAGACAGAAATTCGTGAAGGAACGCGGGAACACGACGACCCCTGGTGCGCCTGTCTCGTGCGATAACTAGCAAAGTTCCTCTTATCAGCTGCTCGTCGTTGAACACACGTAATCATCTAAATTTAGGAGCTTGTAGTAATAAGCATCCCGTCGGCTCTCTTTTGTCTTCTAGAAGAGGAGAATTAAGGCAGACATTTTTTAATTAAGGTCACGCAGTTCGAGTAACTGCAGATGTCAAGCCGACAGAAATAAATGTAATGAATAATCTGCCCGCTACGACTTCTGAAGAGAATACAATGCGCGTCGCGGCCATGACAAGCGAACTCGTACTTCCGAGAAAGCTCCAGACAGCGAGCGAAACTTTCGGAATCGTCTCTTACGACTTCGGATACGATCTGGCAGATGTGGGCGAACTGCACGGGCGGCGGGTAGCCCCGGCCACGCACGCCTGCGGAAAACGTCGATTTCAGGTTTCTTGTTCTGCATCGCAGTTCAAGCCAGCGCGAAAATTTCGTTTTACGCGTTTTGAACGTCATTCTTAATGGCATGAACAGCGTCTGGTTTGCCATTCAAATCCTTTGGCGAATACATCAAAGTTCACTGCCCAAGGGCCCAACTTCAAACGCGTTCCAATTCTTTCAAACGTTTCGCTATAGTAAAATTAACGGTTGGGGGGCACAAATGCGTCTTGGCGCCGGACACTCACAGACTGACCGCCTCACGACGCAAGGTTAGCACGTGTCTGAACGTGCGCCGAGGTCCCTCCGTCACTCTTGACAGGAAATCGACTCAACTATGGTCTCGAAACCGGACGATTCCGTCGTCTGACCGACATTAAGAAGAGCCTTTGATACACAAAGGGAATTACCGACTGCCACACACATCCGAGAACTGAAGCCTCGCATTACGAGTTCATTTTACGCCCGTACAAAATCGTATGGGTCACTCTTAAAGGTTTATTCGCCACCAGGAACGAAGTTTGGTACCGAAAAGCTTGTTGTTGCAAGACGAGCACTCAACTGCCTCGCTGTTCGGAGTCCCGTGTTCGAATCCAGTCCGTCCACCCCAGGATGAACCGCGCACTAATGCTGGCTACTTACGTTGTCACTCGCCCCCCCCCCCCCCCCCCCCACCCGAAAGCGGAACGAAATTCAGGTCCTCGGAGATAAACAGTATTTTGAGCTGGAGGCCGCATTTCTTATCGTTCTCTTTCCATATCGAAAGCAGTGACGTGCAGTTCAGAGGCCGACGTGCTACGTGCTCGACGCGCCGCCTGACTTTGTAATAAAATCACGAACGCAGTGCAAATTTAAAACATGGACGCAACGCCATCGCCAATCTGGGCTCATGTTTAATGACCCTCGCCTTGTGAACTGCCTTTTCTTCGAAAATGTTACACGCAGGCAGTCGACAAAAGGTCTCTGTCCGTTTCTTATTCCACTAAACAATTTGTAAGACGCCGCCGCCCGTCCGAAAAGCTTCCAAAATTTACATCATTACACAATGCCTGAACAAATAAACTTACAGCAACCCAAAGACGAGAAACGAAAATGATCGCTGCCCCACGAATCACCAAGGAACGCGTTTTAAATTCAAAATCAAAGTTAATCGGTACCAAACCCCCCCCCCCCAAAAAAAAAAAAAATACGACTTTCCGCGCAAATGCGCTGGAAGTTCCAGGCGCGCGGGCACTTACGAGCATCGGGAAACACGTGCTGTTCCTTGCGCCTAAAACAAGCTCAAAATGGGAAGGCTGCGCCCCTTTCCAAAACTGATTCCGTTGGCAATGCGAACCGGGGCTCTGAACTGCAAGTTCCACGTCACAGATCGGAGTGGAGCGAACATTTCCAGTCACACGCCAGGATCATTTACTTATTGAACGACGTCTAGGATAAACAAATGCAAACGCAGAGAATCGTGAAAAGTGGACCGAGCCTTTTGACTTCTGTGGTCACTGCACCAGCGCTCGCTCAGTTGGACGAGGGCGTCTCCTCAAAAAAAAAAAACCAGCACAATCGGGCAGGGGCACTCGCTGTTACGAAACGATGTTAACTCCTGGCGGTGCAGTTCAATATAATTACAAAACGCCAACCTGACACTCTGTAAAACTGTAGCACATTTTCAAAAAATAGCTTCAAAATTTTATAATGCACTTCATTTTTCCGCCGAAGTTCTCGAAGGGTAACCCCCCCCCCAAAAAAAAACTACCTCGAATTGCTTTGTAATAACAAAATGGCTGAACGAGCTTTAAACTCCATCACCACGTTTCACTCGCGCGCCCAGGAAAACATTTTACTGTAATGGCGTCTCACCTGGTTTGCAGAGCCGGCTCCAGTGGTACGGATTGCAGCAAATGTACACGGTGTCTTTGGAAGATCTGCACACGGGCAGGCGCTTGAGCTCGGCGTCTTGCCTCAGATCTGGCCACCGCCAAAGCTGGCAACAGAGCAATCGAGGGTCCAGCAACGGAGGCTGATCGCGGGGCAAGAGCACGCACGCAGACAGATCCGCCCCACGGCTCTCCACAGCTGCTAGCAGCATCTCCAACTGGCTCTCTTTGAGCCGCTTCAACAAATAGCTTCGAACCATTTCAGCACTGTAACACTGTTGTTGTTGCTGTTGCGAACAGGAATTTGTGTGTTTGCTGCTGCAACAACAACAGCAGCAATACGAAGGAGTGGGGGAAGACGAGAACGTTTCTGTTTCGCCCGAGGCCTCATGCTCTCTTTTCACCACACGCGCCTTCCAGAGGCGTCTAGCTAAAGTGTTCCGTTTGGTCCGGAACATGAAAGAGCACAGCTGCGTCTTCCAGGGTTGTGTCGCTTCGTCTCGTGAGGAAGGGCATTTGGGAGCCACTATAGGTACTTCATACACAAGGGGGTCACAACGAACTGATATAAAATCAAGTGATGCTTCCGGTCGCCAATCACGTGCGACTTTTTTGAAACACCTCAAGCAGGCGAATTTATACGCATGCTCTCTCTTAAAGAGAATTACAAATCGAATTCCTTGTTAACAAAATATTTTGGTCCCTTGTCAATCGCGACTCTCTACGTACCATCATTATTGGCCATGATGAGAGCATTATGGCACCTAGAATTAATCGTATGGCTGCCTACACACACACACACAGCGCGTAAAACCACATTTCTACTTGCCTCAAATTATCTCTACGAGACTGGTCCACATAGACGCCAGTCATCACATTATCTTGATTTCAATTACGTGCACGTATGAATCACATCAGAAGTCCTTCACCATCAATCACTGTGTCACTCGATACTGAAATCTGCCACATGCGAAAAGATTCTTGCCGACCTCCACAAGCAAAGCACATCACAGAACACGAAGGCAAACAAAATTCTGGCGTACTGATACAGATATGAGCTAGCACTGCGTTGAAACTGGTTTTCATTCTAGTCCTTCTGTTACTTTTTCAGTCAAAGCTTCCATTTGTGTTACTTCGTTGTGCGGAAGGAGAATTTGTTTCCCTGAACACTGTACGTTTGAACAATCGAAATGAATCCATCGTTACACATCATTTCTTCTTTGCGCGAACTACGTATTAATAGCCACCGCACACTAGCACAGCCATGTAGTAACTGATGCGTCTGACTGTCGGGTCTTGATCCACGAGATACGAGCTGAAGAGAGACCGAAGCGCACTTAGAAAGAGACGGAACCACTCACGAGTTCCACAACAGGCCGCTAGAGGCGCCATCATTTGAACTCGACCGAGCCTGAGGGGAAGTCGTCATCAGATCGAACGCTTCAAAGCAAGACGGGTCTAAAGACGATCAAACATGACACTCGGTGGTGAACGGACTAAAAGATCAACTTCAAAATTGTATGCCACACGGATTTAATCTCTGACACTATCTGAACATTTTTTTAAAACTCCATGCGCGTCACGAACACATTTTGATGGGTCATTTACTGGTCTGCTTAAAGACACCTTCAGAAGTGCACGGCGGTTGTGAATAAACAGGGAGGCGGTGGAGGCATCAGCGTTCGCCGTTCGTCAGGAGGGACTGAGACTGGGTGATCCGGGCGTCCTCGGAAGGCTCACAGAAGGTGATCGATCACCCGGATCAACCAAGTGGTCTGCCGATCCAGAGACATCCGAGGACGAAGATGGTGCTGGTACACCTGGACAGACTCGTTAAAATATCAAGGGACCAGTCGCGACAAGCCAGCAGCCGACCTCTCGCTCAGCTCACGCCAAATGCTGGAAGCGACCAGAACCACGCCCTCCCACAAAGCACTCACTAAACAGCAGAAATTTAAAGCGTAAATTTAAAGAAAAATACAAGATTGTAAACGGAGAAATGTACACGGATTAAGAGTCCAAAATCGACAGCTCTTGCAGCATGAGCGGACATGACAAATGCATGCGAAATTTTAGTGGGGAAGCCTCTCAGACCGCTTCTTAGGCAAAAGGCGGGTAATAAGACACTGGCGAGCTTCGAAGTGAACGTGAAAGGCGGCACATTTCGAAACATTAGCGCAAACGCTGCAGCTCGTTCGTGCTGCCCGCGTTTACAACTGGAACACTTTGTGCCACTCTTGCAGTAGAACGCTTGTAACGGTAGGCGCGGAGCTTGTGAGCGAGGCGCCCGGAACCGGGGAAGAACACCGAAACGTTGCGTCGGACACCCGCGGCCTGTTGCTCGATGAATGGACCCTGCCACTCTCTCATCTGCAGGTCCCGAAGTTGCTTTCCAGAATCCTCCTGCGCGCAGCACAAGCCAAGCTTTCGCGGTGGCTGTCGACAAATCTTATCGGGCTATCAGCAGTGACAAATGGTTTAAGCCTGCCGACGTTTCGAGGACCATCTCCGCCCTTATCCTCAACCAATCAACCAAGCAAAAAGCTAACTGAGGGCGGAGTCCCTAGAAAGAAAAACGTGCGCTGACCAGAGAAGAAGACAGCTTCAAGGGTCACCCCCGATACCGCGCCGCGGTGCGGAGGTCTCGACCTCTTTATCAGCGGTGCTCTCGCTGAAAGGTTTATTTTTTTGTGGAAACTTGGGGGTCATCAGGAGACTCCAAAATCCCTTCTTTCGGTACCAACCTGAGGTCCGCACGAATTCTAGGGATGGAAATAAAAGCACGGAAGTCAGTCGATTCAACCGCAACGCAGGTCAGGTGGGCGCCAGCGAAGGGGCTTAGCCCCACTGCAACATTCGCCTTCACTACGCTTAGCCTCTGTCTGGACGTTTATTGGAACCAAGTTCATATTTAATTCTCCTAACAGTTCGTAGAAATCCTCAACGGGAATTGGCAGACACGATCTACTGGCTGATGTTCGTACAACGCGAACATCCAAGCCTTTATCCTGTGTACAAAGCAATGAACTCCATCTTTTGGTTGGCAAATCTGCTTCATTAAAAGCGCGAACGCAAAAGACCACTCTTAACACCTGGACATGGATCGGAGTATAATATTAAAGTGGGCATTGATTGGAGTGGCAGGACGTGACCTGCGTTCGCATGGTTCAGTAAAGCTACGAGTTCCTGCAAACACAGGGGGGATTTCTTGACCAGATGAGCGACTATTAGCTTCTCAATAATGACTGCTTCTCGGGCCAAAGTTTAAAATGGAATTTAATCATCGAATCTCCTCCCAAATTTGTTTACCTGTAAACAAAAATTTTACGCACAGCACCAACGGATTTTCTGGTGCTAAAAATTCATAAAATATGTTTGTCGTGCTTTAAAGGTGCAAATACCTCAAAAGAATATAAAAATGCGTGATTAAACACGTGCTCACCAAACAGAAAGTGATTCCACCTGAGAAAATCCGAGTTCCTTCGTCCTCGTAACGCACAAGTTCGTCGGGTCTTCAGAATCAACCCCCTCATCCCCCAACGCGCATGAAAGTGTCCGAGATAACTCAGCGGAATTTCTGTCTCGCTGTGTCAGCTTGCGAGCCGTTGGTTTTGTTCGATTTATCGTGGACGCCGTTCATTTGTTTTATTGCTACTGACAATAAATTTGTGGTCTTTACAGACCGAAGGCTGAAACTTTGTTCCTAGCATCTTCAATTATTTTCAGACTTTAAATGTCTTTGCGATATTGAATCAGCGGACACATTTGCCGATTTCTAAGATTGGCAGGAAGGAAGGAAGGAAGGAAGTGGAACCAAACAGAGGTAGCCCTGAGGGAGGGCAGAAGACCCAGGCGGTCGTTGGGACACCGTTCCTAGGACAACGGGCTGCTTGGGCACGCCTCGTGGGTCGGTGACAGCCGAGGAACCTGCCGCAAGTCGCTTCGTCCGAAGTCACCCGGGTCTGAACCCGGCTCCGCCCGCGGAGAAGCCACGGCGTTTGCCGGTGCTCACAAATTCAAAATACGTCGTAGCAACCGACGATGACGACTCCCTCCCTCACTTCGTGTTCTCGTTGTCACGACTGCGTGTGCAGTGACGTCACTCGCGGTGCTGCCTGCCATCCGGAGGCGCTGGGCTCCAGCTTGTCCGGCTCCAGAGCCCGCCCGGCGCCTCCAGTCTCCACAGACGTCGTCACGACGTCGACGGCGACCGACGTCTTCTTGTTTCCCTGCTCTAGATGCCGCGAGTCGCCGTCCTTCTTGTCGCCCCGAAGTCTTCTTCTCGTTTTTGGACCCAAAAAGGAAACGACGCTTACTGACACTGCCTGCAACAGTGGCACATCCACCCGCACCTGCAACGTTAAACTGCCCGGGCGCAGGGCAAGGCGAACGATCATTCTGGGCGCTGTCACGAGACATCGCGTAAGCCAGTTTTCTACAAGGAGCAGTTCTTAGCGGCCCCTTCTTTTTGGACTCTGTCCAAAATGTTTCTTCCTTCTTCCCTTGAAGACTTGAAATCTTAAAAAATTACTTCTCTCCCCTCTTGAAGCAAAAAGGGGGCAGACATCAAGTCGTCCGGTGGTTCCTCCCCGCTCCACTTTCTTACCTGAGACGAAGAAAGACCTGTGTTTCGAAACGTCGCGTTTTACGGTGCTCTAAGATTTAGAAAACACAAACAAACGATGGATAAAATGCACAAGAAATTCAAAGACGAACTGGATTAATTCTGTTTGCTGGCGTCACAGCGAATGACGCAGATTTGAGGTTTTCACGGCTGTCTTCTGGTAGACGTTTACCCACGTTTGCTGCCATCATCAGGGCGCCCTAATGATCGAAACAGTAAGCACCCTCTGAAACATCGGCCTCCATATCCGTTCGCCCAGCATCGACTACAGGATCCGAAGTCAGTCCATCTGTCCTCGAATACGGGGTTCGATACGAGAACTGTCGTCTTCGCTTTGTTTCCCGATCCACGGGAAGCGAATTGGGCCACGAACTCTGTGGAATCGTTGCCACTGCTTTAACTTTCAGCATTTCTGCTTCGCTGGAAAACTTTTCTGGAAAGTTCTCAAAATGAAAATAATGACGGGAAAATCTTCTGTGGTACATCAAAAGCAAATTTCTATTGTAAAATTCAGCAAAGAACCATACAATAATTAAAGTCGTTTCTAATCTTTCTTTAAAGATTTTATTATTTTAAAAGATTACCAACCATCCAACACGTAACTTGGCGATATTTTACATTGCAATATTTTATCCACTTGTAATACAGCGCGTATATAAATTATCTTTAAAATTTCGCTCGTGAATGAAACCTCTATGAAAAGTCCCAAACACACCGTTTGAGCGTAATCTGCGAGACGAAACCCGCATTCAACACGGACAGCGTCCAAACGACGTTCGAGCTCCATCCATGTCAGCCCCTGCAATTCTACGTATCCCCATCAGAAGTAGAAAGAATCGCGGGTAGTGATGTCCGGTGATCTGGCCGGCCAATCGGTTTGGCAAATGCCGATTAAGAGACGCGCACACAATCAAGCCCCGGTGTGGCGTTCGAAGAACACGGCAGGCTGCAGTTCTTGCAACTGTTGATAGACAAACTTCCCAGCACAGCCACGTAACTCAGATCAAACGGTCGTGCGACAGGCCACACTACATATTATTAATTTTGGGCTGTCTGCATTGCGCTCCGCTGTAGCTCGAGGGTGTTCAAATCCCCAGATGCGTAAGCTCTGTTTGTTACCTTCCCTGAAACGCGGAACGTAGCCCCGGCCTCCTGAAACTGATGGCGTCATGTGATACGTCTTCTGAAACGTCTTCGTACCCGTACGAAGCACTCCACGCACTGGGCCTTCTCCTGCGGGTCCACGGCGACTGATTCCAGATTTGAGGTTTTCACGGCTGTCTTCTGGTAGACGTTTACCCACGTTTGCTGCCATCATCAGGGCGCCCTAATGATCGAAACAGTAAGCACCCTCTGAAACATCGGCCTCCATATCCGTTCGCCCAGCATCGACTACAGGATCCGAAGTCAGTCCATCTGTCCTCGAATACGGGGTTCGATACGAGAACTGTCGTCTTCGCTTTGTTTCCCGATCCACGGGAAGCGAATTGGGCCACGAACTCTGTGGAATCGTTGCCACTGCTTTAACTTTCAGCATTTCTGCTTCGCTGGAAAACTTTTCTGGAAAGTTCTCAAAATGAAAATAATGACGGGAAAATCTTCTGTGGTACATCAAAAGCAAATTTCTATTGTAAAATTCAGCAAAGAACCATACAATAATTAAAGTCGTTTCTAATCTTTCTTTAAAGATT